TGGATTCGTTCTTCTCCCCACAAATATGCTACTTTTGTATGCAACCGTGTTACTGAGATCCAAAATAGTATACCCCCTCCCAAATGGCGACACGTCAGGTCTCAGTACAACCCTGCTGACCCCGCGTCTAGAGGTCTTCTTCCCTTGGAATTATTAAGATGCAGGCTATGGTGGGCGGGGCCGAAATGGCTATCACTGCCATCTGAAAAATGGCCTTCTGATCTCGGAATATCTGTAGATAATTTATCTGAGACCGAGGAAGAGAAACGGAAAGTAGTTCTTGCTACCACGGTTATTATACATCCCCTATCTCATCTTCTCTCTCGCCATAGCAGTCTTCCCAAAATTCAGCGTATAGTTTCTTACATTTTGCGATTTATTCATAATGTACGAAATCGCAACAATCGTTCAGTTGTACCTCCCACTCCTTCTGAAATGGAGCACGCTCTTCTCATTCTCGTCAAATTCACTCAATCAGAAAGTTTCTCAGATGAACTTCAAAAACTGAGGACCCAAAAATTACTACCCAAGCCTTTTCAGAAATTGACACCTTTTCTGGATACCTCGGAGATTATCAGGGTGGGCGGCAGATTATTCCACTCAAAGCTGTCATTCGAGACAAAACATCCGATTCTTCTTCCTAGCTACCATATATTTACTCAACTATTAATTGAACATACTCATAAAAAATACTTGCACCCTGGACTCCAAACTCTTCATAACCTAATCATCCAACGGTATTGGATTCTTGCCCCCAAAAGAACTATTCGTTCAGTCATCTCCAAATGTATTCAGTGTTTCAGACTCCATCCCCAATCACCGCAACCAATCATGGGAAATTTACCTGTTCCCCGGGTGTCTCAGGCCAAAGCTTTCGCACATGTCGGAGTAGACATGGCTGGACCACTCTCAATCACACTCAAAAGAGTACGTGGTGCAAAGAGCTATAAGGCTTATATCTGCGTATTCGTTTGTATGGCTACAAAGGCCACCCATATCGAGCTATGCTCAGATCTGTCCACAGACGTTTTCCTCGCCGCTTTCCGCCGCCTCATTGCGAGGCGTGGAAAGGTCAGCGACGTTTACTCAGACTGTGGTAGTAATTTTCGAGGTTCTGCTAATTATATCTCATCAATAATGCAATCTGTTTCTGAGGAGGAGCAAATCCGATTCCATTTTAATAGCCCAAAAAGTCCAAACTTTGGTGGCCTCTGGGAATCTCAAATAAAATGTATAAAAACTCATCTATTCCGCGTGATAGGAAACCAAATACTTACGTATGAAGAATTATACACTATTCTGGTTCAGATAGAATCGATACTAAATTCTCGGCCATTGTGTGCCATCAGTACTGATCCTAATGATCTGCAGGCTTTAACGCCAGGGCATTTCCTGACCCTAGAGCCCCTTAATTCTCTTCCAGACCCCGATTTGGGGAATTTGAAGCTATCATCCCTCAGCCGTTGGCAGTTAGTGCAACAGCTGCATCGATCGTTTTGGGATCGCTGGCATAAAGAATACCTGCATAATCTTATGCAGCGAAGCAAGTGGACACAGCCATCCACTCCGGTAGATCTTAATAACCTTGTGCTTCTCAAAGATGAGCTTTCTCCACCCTTACGGTGGAGCCTAGGAAGGGTAGAGCAAATTCATCCTGGGCGTGATGGTATTACAAGGGTAGTTACAGTACGCACACTCAAAGGTGTTCTACAGCGTCCTGTCACAAAAGTGTGCCCTCTGCCAAATATGGCATGAAGTGTGCGTGTGATATATTCCTCAAATTTCTTGTAGTAATTATTGTTAGTGATCTAAATACAGTTTAATTTTTTTAAAATATTGATTTTAGATGGGCGGTATGTTCCGTTTCTGCATCATTTCATTAATTAAATATTATTATTCTGCTACGCCACTGTCCCGATCAAATTCCTACTTTATGATAAAAATATTTGGTATTCTTCTTTGTGATAACTTTTCGCGGGTACCTATATCCATTGACAAGAGGTACCATGTGGTCACCCCTCCATGGTGCGCAATGTGTACGGAGAGAAGCAGTGCGGAGAGATGACATGAGAACGGGACGATACCAAGTGCTATTTTTGTTTTTGGTAATAAGTCATTTTCCCTAAATTTGTAATTTACTCAACGCAGCTTCACAATAGTGAAAAATACTCAGTGAAGTGCAACCCTACTCATAAACAGAGGTGCAGTTAGTGCTCTTGCTCCTGAGGCGGCCGCCGAGCAGAAACCAACAGAAGAACCAAAACCACGCCGGTTCAACAGGTGAGTGGCCATTTCGAATGCTTCTTGTCAATGTGCGAAAATCAATCAAGAAATTGATAACGAAATTTACAGTCCACTGTTTCTTTCTCGCCCATAGTTTAAAATTTGTGGAGATGACTTCGAGCATTCCTTCCTTCCTGTGAAATATTTCACTCCACTTTGAGCAATATGGACTTCTACCAAAGACAAACAAAATGGCTGAAATGGAATTGAATCGACTTTTGACAGTTGACAAGGTTACTTTGCCGTAAAACAACGATGTAACTCTTTAGTCTTAAGTTATTTGTGTGTTTACTTTTGTTCTATTTTAGTCACCTGTGTTGACGAATCCAATACAATTTTCAATTGTCGAATGGAAAATAAAAATATTATTATTATTATTATCATATCCTTGTATCCTGTATGCATGTAAGCTACGTTATAAGGTGGTGAAACGAAAACATTGCACAAATAACATACAAACTCTGTCTGAGATATATCTGATAAACCTAAAATCAATATATCACAATATTATCTAATTATAATGATGCCAATATTGATGCGATGTCTCATAAACGTTTTACTTCATAATATTGTGTTGGATACTTCAGAAGGACATTATCGCAATGTTATTCCAACAATATCACAAAACTTATTACTGAAAAATATTTTTGTTATGTATCATGTTTAGTGGGTATCAACACAAAACTATTACTGCGACATATCATCTGTGAGAGAAAAAAAAGTTATTTGTTACTTAGTCATAGTGATCTATGACCTACATTTGAAAAACTAAAGTTGGTGCTGATATGTCAAATTCTAGAAGAGTTGGTATGAATTTTATATTTTTTTCGAAATCACTTTGAAAAACTGCCATGAGAATGTGAAATTCCTATTTGAATATTTCCATGAATGAAGAAGTTACGGAGGAGACATGAAAATGATCAAAATCTGTTTCTTGCGTAAAAAACAAAAACGAATAAATTTTATCAAAATATTTTTTCACATTATAGTTGGCCTTGACAAACTTCACATTTGGTGTCATTCAACCGACCTCGTATCTCTCACCGTTAAAAAGATACCAATGGTGAGCATGGTAAGTGGGACACACAGTATAGGGTGTTCCTTAGAGACATGCTTATATTTGAGGGGGTGATTCTTTGACTCAGTTGAGGTTTTTTATCATGAAAAGCTATAGAAGGTGGACAAAAAAATAATCTATGCATATTTTCAACTTTGATACCCTGTATCTCAAAAGTGAGGACGTATACGAAATACGTTCATATGAAGTTTCATTCTTGAAATGGGTCCAAAAATCACCACCTTGAATATTAGCATGTCAATGAGGAACACCCTGTATAGTACCAGTAAAATGGTTCAAGTTGAGTGATTTTTTTGTGAAAGTAGATCCACATCACTAGGCTTGTTTCTTTTTTGGCTACGACAGGTTGGAAATACTCTGCAAAGAAGTCTCTCCTGGGACTTTTCTCAGTGTGAAAATTCGGAAATGTCATTGGTGAAAAATGTGGCCACACTCTGTAAAGAGCGTGAAATTAGGTGTTCCAAGCACTCTAGGTATGATACCTAACCGGCCAATGATGCGTATATGTAAGATAGGAATTTCCATACGATTTCCTTGCTTTCGGGAAATAACTGAGATATCCTGAGGTATCCTAATAATTCTACATTTTACGAGGTACCTATTTCGATGATATTATTGTAAATGAAAAAACGCGATGCGTGAGGAATGTATATTTCATATTTGCTCTTATTAATAGGTCTAAGCGGTCAATAATGAATTCGAAAGTTTTCCTGTTGGGAAAAATGAAAATGAATATGAGGAAAATAAATAACTAATTATAATGGCGTTCCTGATGAAAGATATAGGCTTTATTGAAAATTCGAAAGATTTGTTTGTAAGGTGATGCGTATACGCAACATTGGCGAAAAATGATGGGTTTGTGCTCGTGTTTGTGAAGGTCAGAGCAACATCGGACTGTGTCAAGTCTGTGGTTCGACAGGGCAGATACGTTCAGTATGAAGTCTGACCATCAATCTGTCCAGCTGTTTGGGAATATTGGGTAAACTTTTGAAGAGAGTTAAGTCAGACATTGACCATTCTGGTATCACCAGTGTGATCGAACGATTGACTTGACACAGCCTCAAACTTTCTTAGCGCAAAACTTGTATGTGGGCCTCGCTACACCTAGGGCCTTATTTGCCTCAGGTACCTCACCTGTATCGGGACGCCTATGCTCAGGAAACATAATGTCGGTGAAAATATCGTAGCAAGACACCGTGTTGTTATACCCCTAGATTCAAAACGGTGCTCGGATAAGGTTGGTGGCGGCCGCAATGGACAAGGCCTTCTTGATGTACGGTAAGTGCCATTATAAATATTCATGATATTCGAAACAAGTCGTTAAGGTTATTTATTATTTTTGGGAAATCCGCGTAGCGGACGATGAGAAATGTTCGGGACATGTCGAAAAATTCGTGTTGCTTCTGTGTGTGCATCAGATATTGGGCGAATAAAAATTTCAGACTGTCTGAATGACCTGTTTTTTCTACAAGAGGATCTACAGGTTGACATCGGATTGAATAGAAATATCACAAATCGTAAGAGCGAGCTCGACGTATTCAATCAAATGGTACAAATGAGAAAAAATTGAGGATCGAAATAGAATTTTGGGTAAGGAGTGGAAAAAGAGTGGACAGGAGAAAGAAATGATAAATCTAATGAGATATTCCATATGGTTTATTCATTGAGTAGAAAATACGCTTACATATGAGATTTCCACAATTTCCCCAAACGATCATCTGATGAGGATGTAGCATTTTCAGATCAATTCTCTTTCCACATTTCCAAATCAACTGCTGGAAGTTCAGAACATGGTATGAGAGTTTTCCTGAAAAAAAACAATGCAGCCATTGAAAATATTCTTTTTCTACTCATTTTGTAGATGGGAAAAAAATTACATAATAGGATCAGTTTTGTTCAACCGGCTCCAAAGAAATTCACTTGCAGAGATTCGATGAAGATGACTTCTCAGTCAAGTTGACTAAAAATCTCATGACATGATATGACCCTGAATCGCTTCGAACTAACTGGAGGTGACTATATTGTCAGAATATTGTATTTCAGGCTCGAACCATTTTTAAGCAACATTTTGTTCATCAACTCATGTTCTAATCAGTGGCCAAGTAAGCTCTCCAACTTTGAAGGGGCTCAAGACCAGGGGCGTGATTTCAGTGAATACTTAGGGGAGGAACCTAGAAACAATTTCCGCATAGTGAAAAATTTTTTGGTGCTCAAGGTCAAATATCTTCATATCGAAAATAAGATTTCTGCCAGGCTGACGACAAGATCTTATAAGTTTGTTATATATTATTTAGTTTCGTGTTCTCATTCCGTTGTAATCGATACAAAATGATATAAACTGGAAACAATATTGCTCAAAACGGCAGCAAAGGTAAACTTTCTCTGCCTAGACAAAAAAAGTATCAACATTGACAATGACATTGGGTGAACACAAATTGATGGATTTTGTCATTTTAATTCACAAAAAATTGGTTTCATAACATTTTTAAAAAAATTATGAGTATCACATAGCCGCAAAGTAGTAGATGACTGTCGCGGCTACTAATTCATAGTGTAGCGTATCGAAACATATAATTTGTCTTATAATGTCAGAATGAATTTTGATTGCCAATTTCACCCAAATCAGTTGAAACGTTGCATAGCAACGAACTTTTTCTGCCTAGGCAGAGAGAGTACACCTTATGTTATAGAAACGCCACATTCTATTCCGTTTGGAGAAACATTTATTTTGAATTTTGTTTGTAGATGAATTTTCACTCCTAGAGATATTTTGAAATATTCTATATAATATCTCGTTTCTGTCAAATAAATTTGGAGTATACTATAGGGATTCATAAGGTGTCATTGTTTATCAATATCCATAGGGTTAGTATCTGAGACCAATTTTCTAGACAGAGTTGAATTTTTTCATCACAGTTAAATTATTTGAGAATCTATACCTGATGTGTCCTCACTGAACATATATTGTAAGAAACCAATACATAAATACTGTTAGGTTTGAAGCACCTCAATAATTTTTACTTTTTCAAATTAGCGCCTCACGTACCACTCTCGAATGCAAGAGCATTAATTATCAGCTTCATGTCTTTGAACATCCGTCCAGTTGTTCTTGATGATCGATTTTGATTTTTTTGGCACATTGGAAGGTACATTTCCTCAATTGGGGGAAGGGGGAATTGTTCATGATTTTGGGGGGCTCAGCCTTCCCTAACTTCACCACTGATTCTAATTTTGAAATTTGGAACGCAATGATTCGACTTCATCACATCGTTGGAAGTGGGATGATTATGATTCGTCTGGTGCGTCCACTCCTCAATTGTTTCGTCATACCAGCTCTCGATATAAACAATTGAATGCGGGTTTGGAACGTGGGGTTCTCATATGCGATGAAAGATGGCGTGAACGATGGCCAATTTCTTGAGAAAATTCAGAATGCTTCTCGAATCTTATTATGAAGTTGACTTTCAAGGATGCGTTTTCCGTCTTTCGAGACCAGAAGGGTCCCGTTGATGATGCACGAATTGAATAATAGCCGATGCATCTAGAGAGAAGGCAGAAGGGCGCAGCAAATAATCCGTACGGACCTTGATCTTGACATATCTGTCCAGATTGTCATGTTTTCAGTATTTTCATGATTCTGCTCGAATTTAGAATTGAAGTATCATGAATCAAGAGCATTAGTAGTTTATTGAGCAGGTTTTGATATTATATCATTAAGTGAGTGTATTGTGCTGTCATCATGAACTGACTGCTGCAATGAGTGAGAATTATCTGAATATCGAAACATACGTTCTATTTCATGTACCAAGAGTAGGTGAATCAACAATTATCACAGAATTTTCTTGAGTTAGGACTTTGTGTCGTTTAGAAATTCACCATTGTAAGTCGAAAATGTAACGCAACTTTTCCATTCGAACAAAAAATAGTGAAAATGTAAATGTGAACTCTAATGAATGTGTGCATGCCTGTAAATTTGGTATGAAACTCCGGAAATTTAGCTATTTCTACAAAGAGGTGATATGGAGAGATTCTGAAACTCCTCTCAATATGTAGTGATAACACCATTTGACTCTCTATACATCAATGTCTAAATAATGTCTAAGTCTGAAAATAACCTACTTCGATCCTGGAGCAACGAATGCATTCTCCTGCATACTCCTGATATCCTTGCTGTTATCACACACGATCCTCGACATGCTAGCTTTCCTTATCTCGGCCAGTTGCGGTTTGGTAAATTCACTGCTCCTCTCGAACCAGTACCTGTCAGTGGTTCGAGCGAGGTAAAACTCTTCCAGTAGGATACATCTGAACGTTGGACCAACCAGAGAATGTGGCAAACGGGACTCCAAAGAGCCACCTACATATAGGTCTACATCATCTGGTTGTTCGTAGAGATCTTCCAGCATACGAATATGCTGAAAAAAAAAACGTTTCCATAAAATGTAAAAGTTCATTCATTCGAAATGGAGAATGTATTTTGATAAAGCAGAGCATCATGTTTCGTTCTGTAATAGAATCATCATAATATAACAATATTGATGAAACAACTATATCATTTATTCAGATTTGTGAATACAGAATAGAGAACAGTATTGATGCACAAACAAAAATAAAAATTATGATGAGACGAATTGCTAGCTGTAGCGATTCTTCAAATGAAAGTTAACAATATTGAATATACAAAAAAATTATACAAATTACCTATCCGAAATCAGAGCAAACCTGGGTTGAGTGGCGGAGTTCATCAACGGAAGACTACAAACTTTCTGAACTTCAGCAAAAGTTCAGTCTGTTTTTCGAGTTACTCAGTTTTTAGAATGAATAAGTTTCCTTCAGATGAATTTTCATAAAGTGAGTTCGAAACTCCTAAGTTCTATGTCTACGCTGTACAGAATGGCGATCGATAAACTACAGTCAAGTCGCTTTTAGTTCCAGAAAAAAGCAATTTTTAATTTTTGGGGAGGCAAACTGTGATGTACTTTCTGAATCTATAGTCTGAATATAGCTGATAATGAAGAAAAAAGCTGAAGAATAGCTAACGAATAGCTAAGCTAAGAAAATGACAACTTTGCGTGGTTGATGATTGTATCATAAAAAATCACCAACAAAACAACTATATAAAGTGTTGACATACGTTAAGGAATAACTGTATAAAACAAAATCCACACAAGTCAAACTGGTGAACGAAAACATTTATAACCACGAAATCAGATCAGCTCTTGGTGTGCCTGTCAGTATTTTGTGTGGAGAGGACAATCCAAAGTATTATACTCTGTTACATGAAAATATCTGCATCCCAGAAAATAGAACCGTTTCATGAAAAAATGGATTCATTTGCATAAAAATTACTGACAAGTAAGTGATTATCATTTTGCAACATAATGAAAGTGGAAAATCATAGATACTATCGCAGAATATCATAATTCATCTTCATTAGTATTCAACTTCATCTAGCAAACGAGATATTTATAAATATTATTCATAATACTCGACGAAGTAGGATAGGGAAACTTTTTACTTATTGTTATGCATGGTATAGTTATCATATATTCAAGAAACAATTTCTGGAAATCTAGTCATTTTGATGATGTTGGCAACATTGTACAGACAAAGAGACTCGTGAATAAACTCTGTGTGAATGTGACTTTTCATAAAGAACGTCATACAAATGGCCACTTCCTCTTTCATTCATTGCTTGCTGAAGTGAAATTTGATCTTATGAAGAAAATAAAACATACGTATGGTTTGAATTTTCTCAAACTTCACACTGAGATGAGATGTTCAATATTGAAAACTTATCGATTCATTGGGTGGATATTCGTGAATTTTGGCAGCAATGTATGCTCCATGTGGAGATTGCAGTGGAGTGACATGAAATAGCAAACATGTTTTTGTTACGAGTTCTGAGAATGTCAAGATTTCATAATGTCTGCAGGTTTTGAAAAAGATATTGAGGTGTTCCGGTGCTTAAAACTATCTGGGTTTTCAGATTGTTAATCAGATACAATACTAATGTGTGCAAATGCACGAATACCAAAGAAAGTATAATCGAATGAACGAGTCTGGTATCCTTTGAAGGCTCTTCTGATCAGTTTTCATGAGAGCAGGGCCATCATAAACGCTATCATAGTAGGACGGCTTGAGAATAAGCAGAGATTTGTTTAGAGAGAGATTTTGAATGCTTGAAATGAAGCATCTGTCTATTTGAATCGGATTGATCGAGATGGTTGAAGAAAGCTTTACAAAAATAGCAAACACGTTCATAAAATGTCTCCTCATAATCGATCCACATTCCTCGATTCTGACTTTCCTTATTATATATAGCCAGTATATCCCTACCACTTTCTATTTTCAAATCTTCGCGACCATCTACCACCTCCTTCTGTGATATTCCCAAATCATTCGTGAATTGTGATCGTTATGAATTAGTCGTGTATTCTATTAAAATTTCTGTTCGAATTATTCATAGTGCCTCTTTAAGATTCACAAATTACAAAGATGTCTTGAGTTGAGTATCATCAGCCTAGTGATGAGTTCTAGGATGTTCCATATTCGAAAAAACTGAAATATGAAGAGAGGACAGGGATGGCCTCAAAATAGACTGGGGTACGTCGTATCCAGCCAATGGTGAATCAGACTTGTTACTGAATGGTCCAGAATATGACCAATAATGAAGATTAGACAAAGTTAAACTAACGAAAAAAAGAAAGTATCATAATTAAATCATAATTAAGTGGTTCAAAGAACATAAGATAAGTAGCTACCTGGTCATGAAACTACGTCAGAAAGCGCATAAAAAATATCATTGTTTCTTTGGATAAACTTTCGGACCTTTGAATCTTCTATGATCCACATAGGTCAGTTTTTTGTGACCGGCGTCATACAATCTTGGACCAAGGAATTTTTGATATCGTATGCATTGGGATTTTGATAAAGTTTCTACTTTCTCTCTTCTACTCACCACGCCACGTGTGCTATGTAATAATTATTATTGTGGTCAGTACACGTTCCTGGATTTCTATTTTCATGCATAAAAAATACACATTGGTTAGCTTATAACAATCTCACTGTGAGGATATTAGAGGTATCTTATATAGGCTTGTGGTTTGAAAGGTTTTGTTTTGTTCGAATGTTGTACTTTCAGGATGCGATTTCGAATAAAGTTGAAGAAAAGTAGTGCATTATTGTAAAATCTCCCCATGCGAGGATGGTGTATCATAGACTTTGCTAAGGCCATATATATCATCATTATTATTTTTATATATCATGAATTGGGTTTCCTCAGCTTATCAGTAAATCCTCTACATGTTTGGTCTGTTCAAGGAATTGTCAATGATCATCCCGAAATATTTCATATAATCGACTAATTTTATATTCATTTGGCAACAGCAAGTATTGAGATTGGTGCAGTCAATTTAACGGATCTTGTCTAGCAGTGGTCATGGAAAAAGTCATGAGGTGGGTTCATTCTCTATTAGGAGATATGATATATTTTTGTAGCCACTGGTGAACAATTCTGAGTATTTTTCATTCATTGTTGCATACTTAGAGTTTTAATATGTACCTTCGAAGATCAACACTGTGTCGTCTGCATATGGAATCGATTTGGCTTCGAGATCAAGTGAGGCATCAATGTATAGCAAATATCTGGTTTATAAATTCAAGAATTTTTATTCAATAATAGTTTATAAGACACTGTATTGTCAAGTAGTACAAATGCCTATGAATTAATATCACTCAAACTCTCTATCATTTCAAGATCTTTCTACACCAATTTTTTTGTTAGTATCTAACAGTTAAGTTGATGGGTACTTAAAAACTACGGGAACCAGTTTTCCTGAAGTGGGGAGATGTGTCAAGAAGTACAAATGCCTATGAATTAACATCACTCAAACTCTCGTTCATTTCAAGATCTTTTATCATGCATTAACTTTTGCAAATGGAAACATCCAGTACATTGTGGTTCCTATCAGGTCAGCGGAGTTCACAGACATCAGTTCCTTTGAAATTTGCAAAATCCGCTTACCGTGCGATGATACCTAGGTAAGCAATATCGAAAGGTATAACGCCCATTCTCATTGCGGAAATTTGCGAACCTAGCATCGATTCCGAATATGAATAGTATACCCGATTCTATAAGGCATTATTATTATCAAAACAAGTCATTAGTAATTGAAAGTGTTCGCCGTTTCCCCGACTTTAATCCTGCTGGTCAACTCCATGCTAGACATTGTAATGTGAGTTCTACGGTCTCCTTGTTGAATGAAAGGTATCGTGAATGGTTTGGGTTTTGGGATGATATCATAACGGTATCTTCCAAAATGTTTCTTTTTCCAAACCCTGATGATGATAATAGTTTTTTTCGCTCACGAAGAATTATGATGTTATCCCTCACGCATTTTTCAAATAATTCAATGTTTTTCATCAAATATATTCAGATATTGGGCGGTAATTATCAATTTGTGTAGCGAATGGGACTGTACTAATTGAATCATCCTAATTGAGATGTGATTTGTTTCAATTCCATCGATCTTATCTAGATATATTTGAACAGATCCTCTAGATTTCTTTCCTCAAAATAATAATGAATTATCTATATCATTCTATCAGTTGAAGGTTGACATGATAGGAAATATGGCTGCTAGTACTGTCTAAATCTTCTCAAAGCACTGAAACTCACCCATTTTCTCAAATTGATTTGAGTGTGAGAATTATGATATCATAATGAAAGTTACCATAACCTCAAGAGTTGACGGTACAATAAGCCCTTGGGAAGGCATTAATTGAAATTATTGAGATTTCAACTTACTTGATGTGACATCGTGTGGCTGAAGTCTCTGAAAGTGATGGCTTTTTTGTATCCACAATATTGCCGCATATCGTTATAGGAAGCCAGTCCGTGATCTCTGCTTCTCTGGATATCGATAGCAAGGATATCTCTTCCTATAGACTGTTTTCCTCTGAACAAATACAAGGAAATCTAGAAACAGATAGGTACTATTGATGAAAGGAAATTGCGAAAGTTGTTACTCTCAATCTCCCCACAGGGAAAAAAATAACATCAGCATACACCAGCTACTCCCCTGAGGTCCTGATTGTTTCAGTGAGAATTAACACTATATTTTTTGCACCATCATAGGGTGTCATTTGTTTTATATTTCTATTATATATTTCTGAAAAACATTTTTCGTGGAAGTATCTATATCTATAGGTTGCTGACTTTTCTACGGTGTGTTTCAATGATGTCAAAGAATAAGTGAATGATACATCACTCACCAGGCTGATGGCTCTCTTCTGAATGGAATCTAAGAGAATCAGCGTATGTTTGGGTACTGAATCCAATAATAGGTTTGTGGGAACAGTAATATAAAGCAGGCCGTATCTGTGCTTTGTAGATCATAAGAAGCTATTGAGCTCTTAAGTAGATTTTCACAAGGAATAAAGTTTTTGTGGAGCAGCTTCCGCGATAGATTGGTCATGATTTTTCCATGGAATAGTATTGCTGATGAAAATACCAAGCATCGATATATTCGACTTGATGGAAATAGTGGTGTCGTGATGAATGTCTTTGTCGAGCAGCAACTCATCCATTCGCGCTCTGAATACACGAATTGTTTATTGTTTCTATGAGCTTCAGTACAAGAACAAACAGAACCAGAAGTTTCATAACATAAATTTCTTGTTCTAGTATAGCGATTGTTGACACAATATGGCAGAATCAACTTGGAATTTGATGTTTTTTACACACAGAGGACTCCAATCACTCTTTTGAACAGACAATAGCGAGTTGGAATTTTTCAGTACATAGCCCAGACGGCACAATCATATTCCATGAATATCCTATGCATATTGCGTTGGGATATTGCCATATGCCATGGATATTCCATGTCCTCCAAAACATATGATATGCATATTCCAGGAATATCCAAAGTCACCATGAAACATATGCCAGGAATATCTGTGAATCTTCCAAAAGAGATTGGTGGCATATATTAGGAATATGTTTTTTGTATATGCATAGAATATGCTTTTCAATCATTGATAGAATGAAATATCTATATGAAATGTAATTTATTATGTAAAAGATAGAAATCAACAATAAACAGGATGTAGGTTTGTAAAATACTTGGAGCTTGCACTTTATATATCATATCATATGATTTTCTTCTTCTCTTGAACGGTAGCGGTGATGAATTCAACAGGATCTGCAATGATTATAACATAGCAAATACTATAATATAAAAATTGATTGAATTCACTCACCTTTGCTTTGGGCGTGCTACAAAAGTTGAAAGAACTAGATACTGAATTTGTCAACATCTGAGTTAATCAGAGCTGATTTCAATCTATTGTTAATTTCTTTGTCACGTTTGTCGTTTCTTCAACAACACGAGTATTGCCTGGATTTTTCATTTGACAGATGAATAGATATAGGTGAGTACTGAAAAAAATCAGGTGCATCTACAAAGTATCTAAATAACAGAAAAAAATTTCAAGTGGTGATTTCGTGATGAAAATTGAGGTGGGCGTTTGGTATGCATTTTTTTGAAAAATCTCCTCACGGAATAGTAACACCCTTCTCAAAATTAGAAAAATGGTTTTTCTTCTTCATTTCCTCTGTATATGACTAAAGGCACAGAACTTGTTGATATTATTCATTATTAAAACTACCCATTTTGGAATGTTTTCAACCCTGAAGTATGCTCAGAAGGGCTTGAAATATTCAACGCCTAAGATATTTTTTTACAACTTTTTTTTTATAAACAATTAAAAAAAAAACACATGGCGAATGCTTTTCCAGAGACCAACAATAAGTAAGTGGATCGATTGGGCTTTTCAGCTGTGTTTTTAAAAGTTGTAAATTAATATATTTCAACCCCTTCTATAAGCACACTTCAGGGTGTAAAACATTTCAAAATGTGTAGTTTTATTGACACATGATATTCACCAAGTTTCGTGTCTTCAACTAAATATACAGGAAAGTTAAAAAATAAAAACCATGTTTTTTTATCTTCGAATGTGTGTAACTTATCCGGGGTTGAGAGGGTTATCAAAAAATTCTATATCAAATACCTTCATTCTCATCACAGAATCACTCCTTTCATTTTCTCGATGTTATATAGATACACTCTGTACATGAATCCATTAATGTATAATCTAAGGTATATACCTCATACTGGTATTGAGTGTCATTGAGTCTCCTTTCTGATCCACTTCAGTTTGATGGCGGCCAAAAGAGAAGTGCATCCTAAGTTAATGTTCAATTTTTGAATTGTTACTATAACTTCAAACGTCTGAAACTTTATATTAGATGTCAACACTATTCACAGTAATCGATACACATTCTAGCACTTCTGCTCAAACTAATAATTCCATGCTCTTCTGGTCTGTTTATAATAAAAACAACCGCGGCATATTCGCGTCCATGTTGATATCACGTCCTTCACTAGGTGACTGTGGAATGTGGAACAAAAGGCAATGACCGACAGACTCGATCGTGTCGTGTCCATTCGGCATAGGTCGACATTCCGACAATCTGCTTTTGAAATATTCCTGGAATTTTCGAAAAGCATATTCAATGGATACTCGATAAACATATTCAGGGAATATTCTTTGGGGATATCTAATGAATATTCGAAAAATATATTCCAGGAATATTCTTTGAGGATATTAGATCAAGCACATATTCATGGAATATTCCAGGGATAATGCAATATTCATTGGAAAATTGGATGTAGTAGGCATATTCCAGGAATATGAGGTGCCGTCTGGGAGATTTTTCCCAAATCGTCTGATGAAGAAAGCTTCAATGTTGAAAGGGGTGTTGTTCATAAAGTGACTGGCGCCAATGGTTATGATATAGGACCGTCGAAAATTTTCGACTTTTTATGTTTAAAAAGAGAATTTGAGAAGATTCATGATCCTATTCGAGTCCAAGTATACAAATGGACTTCAAAAGGTTTTCCTGGACCTTGGTCCTAAGAGCGGCTGGGTCAAAATCAGATAACTCATTAGACCATTCACAAAATGGTGTGGATATACTTGAAGAGTCAGAACTCTTTCAAATTGGTTGTCATGATTGTGAATATATATAGGCCATACTAGCCGACAACGTTCAAAGAACACACTAGCACATTTGGAATATAGTAAATATAATATAAATCTAGTGTAGCTGAACACATGTTCAATCACAACAAACACATTGATAATCCTCAAATAGTCAAACCAGGAAACAATGTAAGAAAGTGAGATAGTAGAATATTCAGGAGAGTTCTGGACCCAGAACGCTCTATGCTCAATCTGGCTCAAACGGTCATCGAGTTCCTCCAAGTGTAGCGATCGACCTTGCAGAGCTCCTGATGGGTGAACTGAAGAACCCCGACGTCATGCATAACTCAGAATGTATCAAGGGTGCCTGGTTCCTAGATTTTGGTAACACTTTACGTTGCCAGTCTCTGGTCCAGAAATCACTCTGTTTACGTTTCCTATGCCATGATCTCATCAGTATGTTGTAATGAATTCAATAATGATTTGCTAGGTGTGTTTGTTTATCACGCTCGATCATCGATTTAGTAGATGTTAGTAAGAAGGTTGTGTATAATTTTCCAACAGGTCGTGAAGGGATGCTAGTTTGTTACTATCAAATAAACTTATATTCCTTTCTTCAACTTATCGTGTGATAGTAGCTTTAGTTTGTGGACGATATTTCATCACCGCAGAACATAAATTATTCAAGATAATGCAAACATTCTAATCCTTTCCTCCATCAATGATTTGTTTATGAAGAACAATCTCAGAATTCACGATTATTTTTTTTTATTGTCTCATTCATTCTGACTAACCTAACCAAACCTCATCATGAATGGAGAAGTTGGTGAGTACATTTTTCTGAGAAGTATCATGTATAATATTAATTGAGGGTGTTTTTTCAGGATCCATACAGGAGAGCATATTTCGAAGCCAATTGCCGGAATGCATAAGGGTTAGTTTATGAGTGTTCTGATTATGTGAGCATGATTTTAAAAACTTGATTTGATAATTTTCAGCATTTGAATATCATATTTTTCCATGGAGCCAATGCAGACCACGATTTCCTTCCAGATGATGCAATCGAGAATTCGGGGTGTGTGGTGATTCAGTATTGGAAGATTCATTCGATTTATTGATTGTATTTGCCTTAAAATAGGTATTTATTTCTCAAAAGATGTTTGATGCTAAATTAATTTTTTTTGTTTTGTTTCAGATGCTGTTCGTTATTCGAAAACAATAAAAAAATAGTGGTGAGGTATTTGTAATTATTTCCATCACACATTTTCATTCATTGCCTAAAAATGTGGTTTGACGGACGTGTAGACACTATATTTTCGTGATATAGCAAGTTGCAGAAGCATATAGTTAGTAAAGCTAGTGTTCTTGTGTCTATCTATGGTGGTAGTCTGTGTCCGAGGAAATTGGAGTGAATTGGGTGAATGTTTGATTGATATTATTAGAGTTAGAATCCCCTCCGTGAGTGTTTGTGCTCGTTACACCTTATTGCAATGAAATTAATTCAATATTGACTGCCATCACGATAATCAAGTCCGTAATGAATCAATTACTTTATTTAATAACAAGTGCTTCACACCTCCATGATCGCATTGATATTTACGTAATTATTTCAAATCGTTATTTCATGAGATGAAAGTGTTTGTCTATGATCGCACGTAGTTCATTCTGTTCAGCAAGTTAGTGTTATCAAGTAGTGTTCTGCTAAGTGGTCGTCTGAGGCGACTGGATAAAATGGGGTGAGTTCGACTTTATTCTTATTTTTGTGATTACTACTTGAAATTGGGCATTGTGAATACCATTTCAACGGAATGAAAAAATGAAAAAAAAAAGGTCGTAAAAGGCTTGCGAGATACAGGGAAGTTGTGAATAATTTCGAGCACCGTACACGAGCATACTAAGAGTTCAAAAGTTCAGTAATGAATGTTATAAATG